GATGGGGCGCCTGTCCTAGGGGACCATGCAGCAGGAAGGCCAGAGGTTTGGGGTTGGGCGCCCCGGGACCCGTCGGTGGGTTGGGACGATGGTGGAGTCATTGCGCCCGGGCCCCAGGTGCGGCGGTGGACCTAACGCTGCTGGTTGACCTGCGCCTCAAGGACCCCCACCGTTTCTTCCTGACCTGCGTGTCCGGGGAGGCCGGCGCGGGAAGGGGCTCGGACGCCTGGGACCCGCCCCTGCTGCTGGAGAAGGACAACCGCATCGTGCGGACCCTGCCGCCCCGGAAGCCCCTGCAGGCTGTCCGCAATGGCTCGCACCAGGTTACCCTGCGGGGCTTCCCGCAGCCCGCCGACCTCGTGGGGGTCTTCTCCTGTCTGGGGGGCCCCCAGGCACGACGAACGCGGGTGGTCTACGTGTACAACCACCCCGGAGGTGAGTCTGTACTGTGAGCGCGTGGAGGGAGGGGCAGCGGCAGGGGACTGGCACTACTGACCCCGGCTTCCGCCCTCCACAGCCCTCCTGCTCCCAGACAAGGTCACGTACACAGTGAACAGAGGGGAGGAGGCCATGCTAGCTGCACGTATTCACAAGGAGAAGCAGACCGATGTGATCTGGAAGAGCAACGGTGAGGGGGCCTCTGACCTGGTTGGGCAGGTGAACCCCCGGGGTCTGACACCCTGACCCCGCCATCACCCCAGGGCCCCCAGCTCTGGCCCCATACCCGTAGTTCACCGCTATGCTTCTGTCACCTCTGCCCAACATCAGGGCCCTTCTGTCCGGCGCCAGGTCCTGGGGGTCTTACCTGTGTCCATCTCCTCATCTCGCCTTCTGAGCTGCCCTCCCCTACCGTACTCCTGAGCTTTTCAAAAACAAACTCACTGCTATCCAGTGGGTGCCGACTCGCAGTGTCCCTATAGGACAAGGTCAAACTGCCCCTGTGGGTTTCTGAGACTATAACTGTTTATGGGAGTAGAGAGCCCCATCTTTCTCCCCCAGCGTGACCTTGCAGTCAGCAGCCCAATGCATAACACTAGGCCACCAGAACTCCTAAAATGATGAGATGTGGACTGAGTCAGGTAGACCTGAACTCCCTAGAGCGGTAGTTCTCAACCTTTTCATACAGTTCTTCATGTTGTGGTGCCCCCAACCATAACATTATTTTCGTTGCTACTTCATTACAGTCATTTTGCTACTGTGATGAATCGGGCGACCCCTGTGTAAAGGTCATTCGTGCCCCAAAGGGGTTGCAACCCACAGGTTGAGAATCATTGCCCTAGAGTCGCTGCTCACTCCTGAACACGTCAAGAAGGGGCGGAGGCACGGGGAGGCTATTCTTCTAATGCCGGGCCCTGCAAGTCCTGAAGCCTTCCCAGAGTCAGGACTCCTGAACTCTGCCCTGAAGGAGTGGGGCCGGCCAGGCGAATTCGGAGGGAAGCACATTCCAGGAGGAGCGATCCACAAGAGCACAGGCCCGGGGTTCCTCAGAGAAACAAGCAGTTGGGGATTCCTGGGATGTTGGGAGCCAGTCAGGGTGGGGAGAGGTATGGGCAGTAGGGCTGAGCAGTGACCACCGGTAGTGAAGCTGATGTGCGAAGCAATTTGCACTTTGTCCTGAGGGCAGTGGAGAACTTTTAAAGAGAGCCTGAGGGGAAAACACACCCCACCCTCACTGCCATGAAGTTGATGCCAGCTCATGAGGACCCTTTAGGACAGGGTAGAACCGCCCTTGTAAGTTTCCGAGAGCGTAACTGTCTGGGAGTAGGAAGCCCTGTCTTTCTCCCTCAGAGACCGATGGTTTCGAACTGCCAACCATGAGGATCACAGCCCAATGCGTTACCACTAGGGCTCCTCTTAGCTTGAGCGGGAGAGACAGACCAACCTGGTGTAGGACAATCGCACTGTTGAGTGCGAGGCAGTGGCAAAGGGGAAGACAGTGGGAGGCAGGGTGGGTGCCTGTAAAGCTGTCAGAGGCGTGAATCAGGGTGGTGGCCTAGGACATGGAGAGAAACGGACTGGCTTGGGAGATGATGCAGAGATGGAATGGACAGGACAGAGCAGTTTGTTGGAGAGTGAAGCTCTCCCAGCTTTCTGGTTTGGCCGCTAGGCACTCGGCGGGTGTCTTCCCCAAGGAATGTGCCGAGGCAGGCTGCATGGATGTGCTCTGTGCTTGGACCGAGGGAGGTAATTCCAGTTCTCATGTCATGCTGAGGCTCCTGTTCGTAACCCCCGCCCCCCCAACCAGGATCCTACTTCTATACTCTGGTCTGGCATGAGGCCCAGGATGGGCGGTTCCTGTTGCAGCTCCCAAACGTGCAGCCGTCCTCAAGTGCCATCTACAGTGCCAGCTACCTGGAAACCAGTCCCCTTGACAGTGCCTTCTTTCGGCTCATCGTGCGGGGTCAGGAACAGAGGGCAGAGGCTGTGGGTGGTACGGGAGGCTGGGGACCTAGGAGTACTTCCTGTGGACCCCCTCGGTCCCCGGGCTACCTCAGCTCTCAGCTGCAGTGAGGAGGTGGGTGGGGGCCAGCCGCTGAAGACAATTTCCTCCAGGCTGTGGGGCTGGGCGCTGGGGGCCAGGCTGTACCAAGGAATGCCCAGGATGCCTGCACGGGGGTGTCTGCCACGACCAGGATGGTGAGTGTGTGTGTCCTCCTGGATTCACCGGCACCCGCTGTGAGCAGGGTAAGGAGAATTGCTGGCGCCTGTGAGGAGGGGTGGTTACCCAACTGAGAGGAGACCCTACAGCTGGGGGGATGAGCTTGGAGAGTGAGGGTGCCAGGTAGGTATTGAGTTCTAAGACCTAGCAGAGGTCTAATCCCCCACATGCCCTCTTTTCCAGCCTGCAGAGAGGGTCGCTTTGGGCAGAGCTGCCAGGAACAGTGCCCTAGCACCTCTGGCTGCCAGGGCCTCGCCTTCTGCCTCCCAGACCCTTACGGATGTTCCTGTGGATCCGGCTGGAGAGGAAGCCAGTGCCAGGAGGGTATGCACTAACTCCTCCCTGATCCCTGATCACCAGCTTCACCCTGATCCTCACTGACACCAAGCCCTCCACCATCTCTGGCTCCCATACCTAGGTCCCTTCTGTACCCAGCCTGTCATTAACCAAGCCCCATCTGTTTCCGGCCCTGGGCCTTGTTTCCCCGCTGACCTGGGCCTCTCTAACCATACCTCTCCTGTTTCTAGCCTGTGCCCCTGGTCATTTTGGGGCTGACTGTCGCCTCCAGTGCCAGTGTCAGAATGGTGGCACCTGTGACCGGTTCAGTGGCTGTGTCTGCCCCTTGGGGTGGCATGGAGTGAACTGTGAGAAGTCAGGTATGAGCACAGAGTCTTTGAGATCCCTCAAGATAGTTCAGCCTGGACCAGGCATTTCTAGAAGCAACGGGTGTCGTCCCCCCACACACACACCCGCCAGAGGTCATGGACTGGTAGGAGTGTGGCAACCCAGAGTGTGGGGAGCGCACAGGAGCCCCTGGCCGGTCACAGAGGGTCAGGACAGGCTTTGGAAGGAGGCAACCACTCTGAGATGTGAGATGACAGACAAGGGAAAATAGCTGGGGAAAGAACACGGGCCGGGACCCAGAGGGGAGGAACTCAAGCTTGGGCACCAGGCCCGTGCAGTCTGGGAGGCCAGAGGAGTGGTCAGAAGAGGCCCAGTCACAGAGGTCTTGAATGCCATGCCAAGGCTTTCCCTTGAGTGTTTTGGCATCGAGGAGACAGTGTTGAAGGGCTCTAAGGTAGTGCGATGAGGGGTTATTTGGGTTTCAGAAAGAGCCCCTAGTTGCTGGCTGAGTAACAGTGGGACCCTTGGGGAATGTATAGCGGGGCACCGGAAGCAAATAAGGTTCTTCATGCGTGTTTGGGCTGTGAGGATGGTAATGGTCCTGATCACAGCTACTAGAGGACAGTAGATGGGGGGAGGAGGAGGAGGAGTGCTGATCAGACGCAGAGCACCAGGGGCTGGAGGACTCATATAGCACTCTGAGGCTTCAGTGACGCTACCGAGGGTGGTGCCTCCACTATGATGCGGGGCCCAGGACAGACGGTACAGGCGTAGCCCCATGCCTGCCCCTGGGAGGACTCCAGGATGTGTGTCCCTCTCTCCCCAGACCGGATCCCCCAGATCCTGGATGTGGCCCCAGAACTGGAGTTCAACTTGGAGGCAATGCCCCGGATCAACTGTGCTGCTGCAGGGAACCCTTTCCCCGCGCGGGGCAGCATGGAGCTGCGCAAGTCCGACGGCACAGTGCTGCTGGTCAGTTCCGATGGTCCCCCTCCACCACCACCACCACCTGCGAGCTGCACAGGGCTCTGCCTGCGAGCCAGAGCCCCGCTCAAACTGGGTCCGGTTGGTTGGTGAACGGCTGCCCCAGAACCCATGAACAGTTCAGACACACATGTATGTCACGCGAGTGCACATTCTCTGTGATGTCCCCTTCCCCGTGTCTCCCTTAGTCCACCAAGGTCATCGTGGAGCCAGATCGGACCACGGCTGAGTTTGAAGTGCCCCGCTTGACTCTTGAGGACAGTGGGCTATGGGAGTGTAGGGTATCCACAGCTGGTGGCCAAGACAGCCGACGCTTCAGGGTCAATGTCAAAGGTAAGTGGTGTCCTGGGACCACGGGTGGGGGGGTGGACAGCAGGCACATTAAGGATCACAGCAAGAAGGACAAGGGTGACTAAGCACAGTCCAGCACCAGAGGAAAAAGGATGCTGGAGGTCACTCAGAGGGCTGGGCTGGGCAATGCCAGGCTGATGCTTAGCTCAGTCTCACCTAGCAAGGACCTCCTATGCCCAGGCTTTGAGGATACTCTCCAGCCTCACCTTCCTGCCTGCCATGGCCCTCCTCCCCGCCCCCAACCCCAACCCCTATGATTCTCGCCCACCCCACCCCACCCCCACCCCCTGCCAGCACCCTGCCTTTAGGGTGTTGCTTCCTCCTGAGTCATGTCACAGGGGCACGTACTGCTAAGACAAGGGGGCACACGGTGTCTGTGGAGCTCAGAAGGTGAGCTGCTTGGCTTGGAGAGATCAGGAAGACTTCTCAGAGGAGGTGGGGCTTTCAGACAAGAGCCTTAAGAACGTGGGCAGGGCAGTCAGCTGCCCTCACTCCTGGTCAGGGGAGCCCAGCCCTTCTTCAGCACCGTCAGCCGTCAGCCGTGGTTCCTCTGACACCCTCCCTGGCTCTGCTCTGCCTCTGCTCCTGCCTAAGCCAACTGACCCTCTTTGCTCTTCTCGCGTCACTCGGCTCCCACATGCTTCCACCACCGTGCCCTTCACCCCCATCTGGAGGCAGACCCTCACCTTCATCCTTTCGCTTCTCATTCGCCCTGGGCTTTGGACTCAGACAATCTAGCTCCGTCGCCCTACAAATACCTAGCTCCATCATCGGGAGCACGTTACTTAACCCGTCAGCTTGATTCCCCCACTGTAAAACAAGAACAATACTAGCGTCTCTTGATGAGGTTGAGATGAAGATTGAATGTAGGCAGTTCGTGTAAGCATTTGGCACAATGCCTGCCACTCAATAAATATTGATAATTACTATTATTATTATTATTATATTTAAAATGCCATCCAGTTCCAAGATTTCACCCGTGCCCTGGCAACCCCCAGATCTGATCTGTAGCCTGGACCTTCTCCTGAGCTCTAGGCCCATGTGTGTGTGTGTGGGGGGGGGGCTCTGTGTAGTGGGGGCAGCTTCTGTGCAGAGCTAGTATATGGTGCAGGGGTCCACTTTATACACAACCACCTCCAGGACACCTAACCCCTCGCCTGAGCCATAGGCACCAGGGGCTCCGCATCATCCAAACTGGACCATCATCTCCCTCCAAATCATACCTCCTCATGACAGGCTTGCTTCTACCTGACACAGCCCCTGAGCCTACAGCTCGGCACTGTCCCCCACTAACCTTGCTCTCTCCCGCCTGTCCTTTGTCTTCCCTCCCTCCTTGCCATTCGCCCAAACCATCTGCTCTTTTCAGAAAGTCCATCTGGTAGAGGTGTGGAAGAGGCAGTCTGGAGATTGGAGAGAAGGTGAGGCTAGACTAGGGTCAGTGGCCAAGGAGTGGGGGAGCAGGGCAGGCACACAAAAGCGGGTTGGTGGGCTGGCTAGACTGACTTCTTCGTACCCCGGCTGATCTCTCCTGGCTTTCCAAAGTCTCTGGGCCCACAGTCTTCATTTAGAACCCAGGAGTAATGAGGGTCAGGGATAGGCAGGTCTGTCACCGTGTCATCGTTAGCAGTTGTAATTAAGAAAGAGGGGAATGATGGGGGGCAGAGCGCAGAAAGCATGACGACAGGCTCCCTTCCTGCCTGGGGCTCCAGCCCCTCTGTCCAGCCCTCCACCGCATGGAGAGAGTGCTCTCTCCCAAGCCTTCGTCTGGCCATGTCAGTGAACTGTGAGAAGTCAGGTATGAGCACAGAGTC